TCGGAGGAGGGGGGGGGGGGGTCATTATTTCTGAGTAAGTTACTAAAAAAAAGTACAACTACTAGAAGAAACAAAAAAAAAAAAAAAGTTATACTAATATCTAACCATTAATTTATCTTCTTCGAATTTGGGGATTTTTGCTCCTTCTAAAGAGGTTTGCTCCTCTTATGTGTAGCTTTTCCACTAGAATCCCCTTCAGATGAAGCATCTACTGATTTGGTAAAAGAACATGAAAGATCTGCATAAAGGTCAACAACCCTTCTGATGTTATTGTTTAACTCTCTGATTAAACCAACATTTCTGCTCAAATTATCAGGGATCTTTGACTCATGATTCTGGTTTATCTCATTGATTAGCAACCTATTCTGATCCAATATGTTCTGCACTTGTACAAAGCTCTTTTGAAATGTTTGAAATACCTTACCATCTATTTGTGTACCATTATTACCTAACACTGAAAATGTATCTCCTTCCATTATTTGGTTCCTCAAACAATTCTCTTTTTCAATTCAAAACAGGGCCTGCAAAAAAGGAGGAGATCCCAAACAATAATGAGTCAAATAAATTTATTTATTTTACTTGAAAGAAAAAGATGAGACCACAACATCTGAAAATTGATATGATGATTTCTCAGCAATTTTATTACTATTATTTTAGGTATGATGAGATGTTGAAAAAGCAGATCCCATTTCCATAAAAGGGAACCTTTTTAGTGCCTACTCACACCTAAATGCCCTAAGCTCACAGTTTCAAAAGAAGAATCTCCAGACCCAGAAATGACCAGTCATTATTTGCACTGCAGATTTAGCCATAACTCTCATATGTCTATGCAGAATTTTGATTTTTCAAAAAAATATGCATAAACACAGAATTCCAACACAGACAAGTCCTGCAGAAACATAAATTCCCATAAAAAAACAAAAAAAAAAACACTTTTTTTAAACACATAACTAGCAAAACAACTCAACTAAAAAAAACAAAATTTAAGAAAAAGTAATAAATTTGTGAACTCATAAACAGAAGTAAGTAGTAGTTTGACATGGTTGTATGTATTGAAAAAGTACCTTGAAAAAAGAGAACATTATAGTTGGAGATGAGAGGCAGTAGACATAGATTGGAAAAGCCGAAATGATCGGCGATTGAATCGAATCTCCCAAAAGAGAGAGAGAATATGTAGATTTGACAGTCACGCTACAACGCACCCTTGTTTATATCTTCTTCTTCCTTTTCTCTGTCTGAATTTAATACACCCCACCCCCACCCTTCTCTCCCCCTCCCCCCTACTTGTTTTTTTTTTTTTTCTCTTTCTTATGTTTTGGTTTTCCACCTATTTGGTAAGGACTAGGGGTAGATTGGTACCTAAATACCCAATTATCGTATCGAATTACTTATATAGTATGATATTTGATAGTTTATAAAATATTCAAAGTATATAGTTATAATTACATCCGTTTGGTCATAGCTATTCAAAAAAATATTTGAAAAAAAGAAACTTGACAAATTTTATTTGGTGGCAAAAATAAGTTCAAATCAGGATTCAACTCCGACACTTGACCTCGACGATAGTTACGGAACTCGAATTCGACACCTGATCTAAAGTTTGACCTCAACTCGACTCTCCACTCGAGATTCAACCCTGACCCAAAATCCAAACAGGATTTCGACCCCCGAATTGGGACCCAACTTCGAATTAAGATTCGATTCCAACTCTTGACCAGCTAAGACCCGACTTTTGAATCGGAATCCGACCCAAAATTCAAGGTTAGGAGTCGGGTCTCGAATCGTGATTCAGGAGTCAAATTTTGGATTAATATTAATTGGTACCTGAGACTTGAGTTAGAGCAAAAAATTGAAGTGTGAAGTAGAAAAAAGTTTTAGAAAATATTTTCCGTACTTTTTTTTGGAGATAGGTCGTTTTCTTTTTATATTTGAGCAAAATAAGTTGATTTAGAAAACATTTTTATTCATCAATATTTATATTTCTATGAGTTGAATTCCTTTAAGTATAAACCTATATTTTACCATTTAAATCACTCACCCAATCAATTAAACTATATGGATAAATTGGGTGAATTATCTAAATATGGGTTTATTTTTACGGCACTATGACATTGCTACTAATTAGGTTAGCATATTTCCCTTTCCTTAGTAAATGCTTAGCCTGGAAAATAAAATATGTATTTAAAATCTGCATTACATAATGGTAACAAAATTGGCATTAGAAAGAATTTTCATTGCAATGTTCTTAAAAATTGGTAACAATATTTTTTTAATCGAAGATCTAAACTAGATTATTTTTCTAAATTTTAGTTATTTGATCAAATATTCAATTGCTAAATATTAACTATCGATATAGACAACTGAAGCTTTTATATATTTATAAACTAGTGTGGTTCGTGATCATTTAAATGTCCTTATTCATAATTTATTCAATTAAAATTATATATAATTATAACATTTATCAAAAGAAAAAACATGCTAAAGCAACTAGAGTTTAATTTAAAGATAGAAATTCATCACACATACAAATTACAATACTATCTCTTTTTTATTTTTATTAAAAAAAAAAGTACAAGAACAATATCATCTCTGACCAAATTTTGAGAAATCGAAAATGATTATTTAGAAAAGAAATTTCCCAATATAACATAAATTGATGATTACATATTAAAAAGTACAAATAAAAATATAAAAAAATTAATACCATTTCTTATAACTCCCTTAATGCTGATTTTCTTCTTCTTTTTATTTCTAGCTAAGAAATTCAATTATGAGTCACAAAATAAAATCTCTCAAATAATAATTTTACCAAATAAATATATGAAACTATAATTACATTTAATTTCTAGGTGGCTTTCCAAGTAGGATCCACAAATTCTCCAGTCACATCCAAAAATAACCACTGAACTTTGCTACCAATTCCAATAATAATTCATTTATCAAACAACAAACAAATGAGCTAAAAGTGATCCATAATTTCACAAATTTCATTCATTGTAATGATGGTCTTTTATTTGAAAAAGAATTAAGTGAAAAGGATAAATATCAATATCACTATCAAGAGTCGCCTTCACACTATTTCTCATCCACATGTATCAATCACCATTTCCTTTAATTTTTTTTGGAAAACAGCTTATGTAATTTGTCTCCGTCCAATAATAATGATTTATTATTGACTTGATACATGGATTAAGAAGTATTCTCTTTGTCCAATAATAATTGTTCGCTATACTATTTTGAGATGTCCAACAATACTTGTCCACTTGATGAAATCAATAGATAATTTTACACTTAGTTCCTAATTTACATTTATCATTAATTATAGTCATTTTTCTATAACATTTGTCAAGACATTGTATTTATTACTCCCTCTGTCCCTAATTACTTGTCCACTTTTGAATTGACACACATATTAAGAAAATAATTATTGACATAGTGAGTTTACCATTTTACCCCTATTAATTATGAAGTGGATGAATTAAAAGCTTAAAGTTTTCAAGAAGTTATACATTTTTCAAAGTAACTAATTGGGGGTACAATAGGTAAATTTTTTTTGTTCTTTCTTGATTTGTCAAAATGGACAAGTAATTAGGGACATCTAAAAAAGGAAAAGTGGACAAGTAATTAGGGACAGAGGGAATATATTCAAAGGGTGATATAGTAAAATTATTCTTCTATTTATAGTTTCTTAAGAAGTGTGCAAAATCGATAGTGGACAAATATTGTTGGACAGAGGAACTACAAAATGATACAAATAATTTTACTAAATCACTCTTATTAAAAATAATAATTGATGAATCAAAGAACTTGTTGCAACATATAAATATGATTTGGCAAAATGATAATTGCTTTAAAAAGGGGGATATATATATATATATATATATGAAATTGATTTTTCCGATTTTTATTTTTTTAATCCAAACCAAACCTAAAAATCAAATAAAGTAAATTATTAATTCAAAAGCAAGCCAAAAAATCAATCAAATAAATTTAAATAGTGCACACCCCTAATCTGAACATGCTCTAACTTATATATAAGTACGTAAAGTAAGTAGAGTAGAAAGAAAAGAAAAAAAAAAATCATTCTTTCTCTTTCTCCTCACACGAACGCAACATCCACCGGAGGTCAGCAGCCATCCAGCCGGAGTTCAGCGAAGGTATTAAGGTCAGCAGCCATCCAGCGGAGGTGTATATATATATATATATATATTTATACCGACACTTAAACAACAACATCAACAATAACAAAAAAAAAAAATTCCTTTTTTATTTTAAAAAGTAATAAATAAACCCCCATTTTATTCAAAAAAGTAAAAAAAAAAAGTGAAGGAAACTCAATTTAATTGGTTTATCTTTTCCCAAATATTTGATGCAATTTTAAAAAATGACCAGACTTATAAAAAATTTCAATTTTATAAAAATGACTTATACTTTTTAGGAAAAATTATCTAACTACACAATCTTTTTTTTCCTATTCTCGATAATTCCCTGCCATTTCAAAATATTACAAAAATCCCTATTTTCCTTTCTTTCTCTTCTTTTTCAGATACATAACTCATAGCCCTCTAACCCAACGATTTTTGTTCCTATTTTCACGTCTGAAATCACTCCCACAGATCAACAATTGCCTTCATCACTCCATTTTTGAATTTCAAATTCATTCTCTCACTCTCTCTCTCTCCAGTTCATCGATTTCTAGTTCCTAAAGAGGTAGAACTATTTCGTCATCATTTTTTTTCTTTCCGATTCTTGAATTATCGTTTTAAAAAAAATTCTTTTAAGCTTTTTCATCTACAATTTTTCTGATAGATATGGATTCGGATGATGAAATCTTTCATGAAAATAGATACAAACAATGAAATGACTCATTAATCATGAAGAATTTGAGAGTGAAAAAGTCAAAAAATGATGCATGCTCGAGTTCTAAATCTACTGTTGGAAAAACGCCAAAAAAGGGAAAAGTTGGATCTGCACGGCCATCACTATCAAACTTGCAGGTTTTCAATGTATCTCATTTATTTTGATTTTTAAATTAGACTTTGTTAGTGTTATCACTACTCTGATACATCACAACTACAATAACCTTTGTTTACAATGTATCATGTTCACATTTAAGGTATTGATACATAACCTCAATGTTGTTGAATATTTGGGTAGTGTTTATGTCACGACCCAGGAGTACCCCCTAGATGTAACATGGCGTATAGAACCCCGAAGGACTCCATACAAGTCACTTAGTCCTCATAACATAAGCAATAGAACAATAAGAGTAAAAACACATTTCAAGTCTAAAATTTTCATAAAGGGAAAGCGGAAATCTAGACTCTAAATTGAACATAGTCATCTATCACAATATTCGAAAAGAGAAAGGGACACAGTCCATACAACATAGTCTGGAAAGAGTATACAAGAAATGAACTACAATTAGATAACATCCGTCCTCAAATCATGAGGACTCACCAACAAGTTAGGAGAATAAGCAAGTCCAAGCTTTAGACATAACGATGATCACCTTGAGAACCGGACCCTACACTTGGGGGAAATGTCGGAAAAGTAGGTGTTAGTATAAAAATGCACTAAGTATGATAGCCATGCATAAAAACATTGAAAACATGCAAAAAAAAAGGGACATTTCATTTGAATGCATGCAATTTACAAAGTTTGAACATCATCATGAAGTTAGTGGAAAAACATAAGTCATAAGCATAGTCAATACATGGATCATCATAACATAAGAGAACACTTCATAAATACCCTCAAAGCATACTTGTGCAATGCATGAATAAGACCCCATAAATCTCACCCATGCTAAGAAAAACTTTTTGAGTAACCATAGTTCATAGTTCATATTCTTGTTCTTGTCATTGTGAGAATAAGCCTTAACCGACATGAGACCATGTGAGCTATACATCGGACCCCCAGTGTTACCCACACCGAAAAGGGTTGTCCTACTTGCCTAAGGTAGAACTATACTTTTAGCTTTGGTGGATCCACTATTTAAATAACCTATGGGGGAACATAGTTTATGGGATAAGTAGATTGCTACTAGAAACCTGGACTCAACTAAGGTATATGGTCTCCATCTCATGAGACATACTTTGGGAACCCGAACTCAACTAGTGTAGAAGGTCCCATTGGGAAG